TGCTTGCCCAGAGCATCTCTGACATCTTTTTCCAGCACAAAGGTACTTTCTGGCAGATTGGGATTTTTCATTCTCCCAGCTAACAGGAATTTAGCAAAACTGCTGTAGCACAGTCCTCTGAAAAGGCTGGAGGGGAAAAAAATGCAGAGCTGCTGCAGCCAGGCAGCCACCCAGAGCCTTCCGCCAACCTCGGCTGCATCACCCCTGCTCCAGTGGATGCAGCGGACACCAGTACAGAGAACCTCACTGGAAAGTTCTGTAAATTGGAAGCAATGGGAGAAAAGGTTTTACAGTTCATTAGCAGCTGTGGCCAATGCTCACTAGCCTGTCTGCAGAAGGGGTGTGCTGTCCTTATGCAAAGGGAGAATGTCCCCTGCCCATTATGGCAGGGAGAGCAGAAGAAAACATGTTTAGTGTAGCTTCCCCCCCAGACCTTTAACTGTGCAAGAACATACAGGCCGTAGCACCAGCTACTACTGCTTAGGTATCTGAGAAGGCTCAGACAGTGACATGAAGCAGAAAAACAAGGAGCCAAAATCAACTGTTTTCAAGAAGCGAGTCACTAAATGTGAACAAACATATGAGCAGATTAAAAAAAACAAAGGAAACAAACTGCTGAACTGCAACAAAAAGTCATCCATATTGTAATAATCACCAGACCAAACAACTCTAAAAAGCCAAACAAAGATCAGAAAAAAATACAAGCAAATGTTTACTTTAAAAAAAAAGAAGAAAATTGCCTCCAAATCAGTACTGTCTGCTCCTTTGGAGAAGTTTGATATCTTTTACTAGGATTATAATTATAAAAGTTGTGCTTCCCACCACAAACTACAAACACACATGACCCAGCTATACAGCTGCAGAAATCCCTGCTTCCACTTTTTGTTCCGCTGCTAAACTTATATTCCACAGCACTTTCCTCTCCTTAACGCAGAGCAAAGCACCATCCCAGTATTCCAGACCATAAACAGATGCAGTAGCTGCTAGTGCTTCACCTTAATACTGTGCAAGCACCTACTTTGAGGCAACAACCGAATGTCCAGGGGAGAATTCGAGAATTCCCCCTCCCCCTCCCCAATCCCTGGCAGTTCAGAGGAATCCGCAGCCTGTGCCACATAAACATGCATATGGTATCACCTCAGGAGTTTTAAAACATTAATTCCTGTTCCTACATCTCCAGCAAGAGAACACAAAGCTGTTTCACGGTGCCTTGGTCTTTGAAAGCTAGAACTGAGCCCAATTAAATCTGACTGCCACAGTCTGGCAAGCAATCTTGACTGTTCACTCTCCCTTTAGCTCTTTTGTTCAACAAATGGCTGGTTTGGAGCACTATAGTGCTTGGACTGATTCCCCTGGACTACAGCACTCATTGCAACAGCCCAGCAAATAAAGTTTAGCATGGTGACCACCAGAAGGAGGTGGCCTGGCATGCTGAATTTATGCAGTGGAAAATAAAAATCACTGCCACTGCTTACCTGCCTTCCTCTTCGTGCAAAATGTTTCCTTGAGCATAAGCAAACAAAGAGCAAGCCAAGGCAATGGTCCCAACAATACAACCAGCAGAATGAAGGTCACAAAGGCTCCTCCAAACACCATTATCTGAGGAAAAAAAATAGATTGCCAGCAATGTATGCTGCATGCAACGTAGCACGAGGTAAATGCTGTAAATCAGAAAGCAACTGACTTGCTAAAAAAGATGCCTCCAGCAAACACACACATCTTAGGCAGGAAGATGGAATTAATACCAGCATCTTTATGACTGGGGAAATCTGCTAAAAAGTGCTGTTGAAAATAAACACTAGCGGGCTTGGGGCTTGCTTTGCTAGGAATGCAACTTATTGGCAGCAGCACCTCAATGGAAATGGTTTCCTGTTCTCTCCAGCAAAAAAACAGTCTCCAGCACTCAATGTGCATGGCAAAAAAATCACAAGGTGGATTACAAACTGAAGTTCTCTTAAGCACAAGGAACAGCCTTTCCAGATCTCACAGCTATCACCAGACACACTGCATGACCACGGAGGGCCACCAGGGTCCATGGGATCCAGCCCCAGGTCCCAGTCAGTCCGCAGGGACTGACACCGCAACCCAGGGAGCTTCTTCCCTCACATTCCCTGACAAGCCTCTGCCTGAGGTTTTGCCTGTGATGATGAGTGATACTGATGACATCTCTGCCTGGGGACTAATGTTTTTAAACGGAGAAGTACAGATGATGTGATATATCTGAATGGGCCCACATATTGTGGCTTTCCATGTCCATTTCCAGGGGCTCACTGGGGAGAGGTGAGCAAACAGCAGAGGCAGTTCTCGCTGATCTCAGAAAACTCTAAAGTTAAAAGCAGTCTTTTCTGGGCGCTCACCCCTCCAGGCAAGCATTAAAGATGATGAGCTGCCAAAATTCAAGAGCTCAGTGTGACCCAAGTTGTAATCGATTCCCCATTTGGCTGAACTTAGAATCTGGGTTTTCCAGACCTGAACAGCAAATAGACCTTGGTGAATCTACATAAATGCCCCGTTATACAATAGTTGTGTTATTTTAATATTTATTTTCCACAGATCTTGGCACAAGTACAAAAACCTACTTGAAAGTTTAACAGGCAGATTCTCTTGACCAGCCAAACACCATTATGTTGAAGCTACACCTGTCACACAAACCTCCCCGAAATGTTCAAAACCACAGGCAACCCACTCTCAAGGGGTTTGGCCTTATGAATGATGCCACTTTATATCCTTAAGGTAGCCAGAATGCCGAGAGAGCAAGAACATGCACTCTTGAAAATTCTCTTCTGGCACAAGTGTGGTTTCAGTGTATTCTGAGTAAGTATTCATCCAGAAAAGATACAGTCACCTTGTCTATATAAAATGTCCTTATTTTAAAATTACTTCTACTGGAGGAAAATACAAAAAATTTAACTACCCTCTGGAGTCCTGGGCCAAATCTAATCTGACTGATTCTCTCAACACGTGATGTGGCATTAGCCCCCTTAGCATACACCCCTGGAAATTCATCCACTGCTTCTATACGTGCCCATCGCTGCCCACGTGCTTTGTGGGGTACCTGCAACACTTGATACTGAACTTTAGCCCTTTCAAAGGACTGTGCAGAGCTCAACTGCTCTTCTGTGAGGTAGATGAGGAAAACCACAGATTTACAACAAGGAAACAAAGTGAAATAATTTGCTAATGTCAACCAGAGTGAGGTTCAGGGCATGGTCCCAGGCTTGTGCCACACTCAGGCTTTGGACTTTGGAATTGGGGTGCGAAGGTTAGACTGGCCCAGCAGCAGCCTTTAGGCAGGGCTCCTCTGTTCAGGTCCCACAGCTTCTTCCCCTCAATAGGTAGTAGGACATATTTCCATGTGGCCTTGATCTTAATCTGTGATTCAAGAAAAAAAACCACCCTTTTGGGGCCAAATTTGAGCAGAGACTCTGTTTCACACGCCAATATCGTACCTGGTATTGAAGGGTTAATGCTGACAAGCAGCGTCAGGGCAGCTGGCACTAAGTAAACAACCTGTTAATGAAACAGACATCTACTTGTAGCAAAACTTAGCACGATCGGGAAGCAGAAACTCCACCCACACCAAGGCCGCTCCCTTCGTAGCAGTTTGTCGGGTGGGCACAGCAGCTGCCGGTGCCTCTGGCGTGCCCTGGCACTGCTGCTCCCACCTCCACCATCGCCCCCCGAACCTGGGGTCCTTGAGTGCCATCCCTGCTCCTCAGCTGCCGGTTCCCGAGGCCTCGCTGCCCCACCGTCCCGCCGCTGGGCTCCTGCGCCGCATCGTGATCCTCTGCGGACAGCCCCGGCGGGGAAATCCCCCTCGGGCTCCCCAAACCCCAGCGCGGGGCGGGGG